AACCCGACAAATGAATGAAGCTTTGGCATCAGAACGGGACATTCCCAACAGTCATACGTGGGAGGTAGAAACTGACATACTACGATAATCAGGGCAATCGTGCTATGAACCCCAACAAGCTGTGCATTCAGGGAGCCTGCAATTCGGTTCTGCTTCCCATTGCATCACAGACTTAGTACAACACTGTAAAACAGGTTATGGGTCTTGGAACATCTACAATGTCTGACCCTAGCTCAAGAGGCTTAAGGCTAGAAACCTGCACAGGCATTTGAATTCCGGGGCGACCCAATGCCTCTGGAAAAGGAAGTAAGCCAAGTACACATTCTAACGTAGCTGGACATGATGTTTCAAGGCCGCCGTAAAGAGTAGGCCCACCGTGGAATTTACAAGTCGAGTCGACCAGCACAATGACCGACCACAACGAGATTGCTAAAAGGGAGGGAGCAGGGGGAGAAAAAAGGACAGGATGGAAGGCAGTGGTCAGGTTTTTGTTCGATGGAGCATATTCAGAGCTCAAATGGATGTCCCAAGAAATAAGCCCCAGGCACCAACCTGCCACATACAAGAACCCAACCAACGCCACGCATGTCCGGTCCTTGAACGCCTGGCATCCTTCTTACAGAGTTATCAGTCAAGAGCGCACCACACATAATCTACCGACTCAAAATGCGCAACTTCCCTACAACATCACAAAATCAATAAGCAGACACCACAGATTGACATTTGCAACACCTTGGACACCAGTCTACCTACTATGGACACGGAACTACCTAAACGATCACAACATTAAGACATAGATCCCACAGACAGATTTTTGCACTTAGCTCGGTCAGTAAGGAACACAAGTTGCATGCAGGAAGTATTCAAGCATCGGGAGATATCTGATAGACTGCATCAGCCGAGCAGTATCAGGATCTTAGCCAATATTGTCGGGTATCCAACACTCTTGGCTTTTAAAGGCCATTCAATTAATGAATGGGGTGAGCGACGGCACAGCGACAATAGAGCTCAGTGCTTGTAGTGCTAGAGTTGGCTAGAGCTCAGTGCTTGTAGCGCTAGAGTTGGCTAGTGCTCAGCGCTAGCGTTGCCGGTGGTTCCCTGCTATCGTCTCCTGCCCATGCTCACTTTGACACCTTGCACTCCAGGAGAGTTCACATTTCGGACCTCCACACCTTGGGCACTTTCAACCTGGTTAATAGCTATATGATATATGTATATGACATACACATGACATGCCTACGTAAGGGCCGTTTTATTACAGTAACCACCAGAATTCCTGTCCAGAACCTATATAATATAGACCTAGGACATATATATTGTCACAAGAATATCAGAGCCCAAAAGCGAAAAAGAAAAAGAAAGAAAGAAAGAAAAACAAAAAAAATGAATTCATTTTTTTATCTTCTTCCTTATAACTCCCCCTGTTCAGAACCTCTTGCGTACAAAGCCGCCCACGTGGATGTAGGTTGAGCGGGACACATATATAACATGAAAGTGCCGCCATGCATGCGCCGGGAAGTGCTGAGATGATGGGGCCTGCCGCGCCGGGCGAAATTCATTCCGAGTGAACCGTCGGGGCACTGTAGCAATGGCGGGCATGTTAGCGGCCGCTCTTCTTGGAAGTACTCGTGGTTTAAGGGCCCGTTTGCAACAGTTTTCAACCTGTGTTTTTCTGGGCAGGGCCCTACACATTGCACAGCATCACTGCCATACTCCACTATGCATATAACGTAATAACACTAATGGAGCCCCATTCACATTTCTACCCTCAAAATTGCCTTTCTTTCGCCTTTTTACAAGCTATTTTGTTTTACCCATGGTACAACCCGATAACGGGAAGAGTTGGTGACTTCAATTTTTGGCTTGTGAGAGAGACGCAGCTGCGGCTGGGCAAAATACGACAGTTTGGACACGGATGGGGTACCGGTAAGACTTTGGTTATAGATGTCATCCTCTGATCTAACGACCGAGGACTGAGGTGACCTGGCCATGAGAACACGAGATAAGTACCAACCCACAGAAATTAGGTCGGCCCCTCAACGCCTTGGGAACTCCAGCACTATGTGTGGCTACTTACCGTATGATGCCTTTTCCCGATACTGTAAGTTCAGAAAAAGCCTCTCCTGCTGCACCCACTTGTATGTCACATTGCCCCTAAAACGGGTAAGACTTCGTTTCTACTTGTGGCCCTCTGATCTAACTACTGCGAACAGATGTGACTTGCGTGCGTGTAACAAGATTAATAACTACTGCGGACAGATGTGACTAACCCATGCATAGCAGATTAATCTCGCCCTTCCCGATTTAGTTCAACCCACAGAATTCACAGTGGCTCCTCAACGCCTTGGGCACTCAAAAAGTTTCCGGGCCTCTCAACGTCTCCCCTCAACGCCTTGGGAACTTGTGTTCCGTACAGAGCCTTTGCCAAAGAGGCGCCTGCCGTCACTCCCTTACTTTCTGTTCCTAGAGCTTGAGGGGATGGCCACTTTTGTTTCATAACGATTTCTATTCTAGATGGCCAGCTGACACTTCTCCACCTGCCCCAATGGCTGCACTGCACATGATTTTCTTCTCCGTCCAGCTCATCGTTCAGTACTTCCCCCCAGTCCCTTTCGATCCACTGAAAGATTCTCCGGATAATCCCCCTACTTGTTGCTCGCCCCCTTCTCTCTCTCTCTCTCTCTCTCTCTCTCTCTCTCTCTCTCTCTCTCTCACACACACACACACACACACACACACACGGGGAGCCCACACAGGAGGAGAAGGGGAGCAAAAGACGGGCAACGTGGAAAGGCAAGAGTTCACAGCCTGAGAAAAGACCAACACCAGGCAAACATCAAACAGCCGTGGTCCATAACGCTACCGGTAGTTCCTCGAAAGTAGAGAAATCGGCAGGTACCGGGATAACATACGCAGACTTCACACCTGAAATTTTATGCGCGGGTGAGCAGAATGCCAGTGCGCTTCAGGGTTCAGGTCGCCCCCTCACTGGTCGGGCACGCGCGAGGTGTCAGCCAGTCTGTACAGTTTTGTTTTGAAGTGCTGGACCCACGGCGAGGCACACTCTCACCGCCAAACTGTACTATTCCCAACACCTCTTTTATAATCCGGTACGATCGTCGATCTTCGCTATGGGCATTGGGTGGTTTCGCGGAATATGCGGCTACAGATTAGGAATTCATACATGCAGACTCCACTGCCCGCAACTCCACGAGTCTGTGGAGAGCTGCTCCACAGTTCCGGACGGACTCGAGCCCCGAATTGTCAATGGAGTGTCATAGCTATGAGCTGTCGTGTACACTTCCGGATGAAATCAGAAGCCCAAAAAATAGAATAGAGATTAGACTCGAGTTTTGCACGGCAGTCAGAACCGGGATTTGTACGGAGAATGTAGTACTCCCGCGTTTGGTCCGGCGTTCATCCGGATTGCTGGACGACGTTCGTGGACTACTTCAGTACCTTCTACCTATTGTCTTCATGCCCAGCTTCAGAAACGACAGCACGGCCCTAACTCTATCAATGAGCGCGCTCTGAGAGCCAAGCACATTCCAAATTTAGCAGCAAGCATTTCGACCGGATTCGCCCGAGTTTAAGCCCGGGCCGGAATCTAGCTGCTAACATCCCAAGGTCGCCTTCCATCCCGAGTAAAGTCCAGCATCTTTTTGGAATCTCGCCCAGATACTCGGCCTCCAATGTTCAGACCGCCGACTTCCCTTCTTGGAATGTTAATCCCGCCTTCGATCTCAAGTAAACTCCCGCGCATTATACCCAAACCGTGTCCCATGTTCGGGTCCAACTGGTGTCACGACGGTAAGTCATCCTTCCAAGTGGGAGGAATCCACCAGGATTCCTATCATAAGTCCTCCAAGCTTAGTCAGCTTCGCATCCTCCGCCAGCAGACCGCTACTGAACTCGGTTGTCCATTTCTTCCCACAGTCACATGTCACTTCAGTCTTCGTCACCCGGCTTGCCGAATCATATGTGCAACGCCTTGGTTGTCCATCATTCAGGCTCCCTAAGACGTCAAATCCGCAGCTCTCACTCATAGGACATAATGATGAACGCAATCCGTCCATGATCCACTTGCATTCATCTCTCTCTCTCTCTCTCTCTCTCTCTCACACACACACACACACACGCGTGTAAGCACAAACATTCATCGTCTGCTTTTGCCACCAGGAGAGAACCCATCTCCACATCATAGCCAGCGGATTCGTGAAACGAACATAGACGAGTGAAGGTTATCTTCCGGCGAAGGGGCGAGGGTTTGCCGCCAGAGAGGTCGGATACATACCCATGAGGAAAATGACCTCCCAAATTCAGGAACAAAATGGGTGTCGATACTTACGACGGGGCACAATGCCAGACGAGCTGCAACACCTTCCTTTCCTCCAACCGAGGGTCGCGCACAGTTTTGGTTCGACGAACCAACAGATCGGCTTCACCGATCAGACAAAACAAGTTCTCTTTTCCCCAACACAACCGATCATGACACGACCGCAGTGACAGACACTATCAAAGACACAATTCCGCCATCATACATGTTACATATCTGAGAGAAGTTTATCAATGCTTCGGCTTCACCGATCAGACAAAACAAGTTCTCTTTTCCCCAACACAACCGATCATGACACGACCGCAGTGACAGACACTATCAAAGACATAATTCCGCCATTATACATGTTACATATCTGAGAGAAGTTTATCAATGCTTTCTCATCACTGAAAATCCATAATTGTCCGACCGACCACCTTGAAATCTAAGACCAGAAAGGTCAGGCCGTCTACCTGCCTGATAAGCCTTACGTTACGCTGAACCAGGCAGGCACTGAACCAGGCAGGCGGGCACAAAACCCTGAATGTAGGGAACCTTGAAACGCAACTACAACGAGAACGATTCCTTGTTTCTGATAGAAGAAGCCTCATCCCCAAGCCCCTTCTTCCCACTTTCACTCGTTATTGCCCTCTCGATCGATGACAACGAAGAATTATCCACCTACCCTATCGTCGTGATAAAGCTCGTCGTGAAAGAGTCATCGGAGAAACGAAGAAGAAGACAACTCTTGCCGACACCTGCACCCATGCAAACACATGTAGAGATAACGAAAGAAACAGCACAGCCATCCAATCCAACAAGGCCAATATATTAACCGCCAACACGTTTCATGCTTCTCGCAAAGCGCAGAGAAGGCAACACAAAAGGAGAATTCATCAACAGGAAAGCCAAGGAGGTGAGGAAGGAGCGCAGGGCAGGGAGCAAAGGGAGGCGGCCAACACGTAGCAAGGCAGTCCTCTCCCTGCCGCGAAGAGGACCAGAGAAATGACCGAAAAATAGAAATAGAAAATTTACGAAAAGACTATGCAAGAGTTTTGGAACCGTCCCACACATACATCATGCGCGTTCGTCTTTGCTTTGTCACCAAACCTACCGACTACCAACGAAAGAGCCCATGCGTTTCGATATCATCATAGCTGAGACGAATGCCGCCTCTCACAAAGGCCGGTTAGCGTTCAACCAAGAGGAGGAAAAAGAGAGATACATAATCACGAGCACACTCGATAAATGTTCCCTTTCGGCAAGGCGGACGTACCCCGATCGGATGGCATAACGTTCCAGTGAATCCACCTCGGCGTTGAGAAACACCTTCCGATGTACGCCTTTGACAAACTCAAACCCCCAATGACCATTCAGCCCCGTTACAACTAGTCCGCGTGACGCCGACAGGTAAACAGCAGGCAATTCAGCCACGGCCAGTTGCTGGCCGGCACAAGGTCAGCCAGAAGACAAGACCAGAGAAAGGACAATACCGCAGAGCGGACTACTGGAATAAGCATGTGAAATACGAGACGTCGTGCTGCTGAGGAAAAGCATGGACAACGAGATAAAGACGAGGGCACTTCGAAAACCATTCAGTGATTGTGGAACGCATGATACCGAATTCGCTACCGAGCGCCCTTATCACGCGCGCTGCTCTAAGATCTCAATTAAGACTGGTCCAATGAGTGAAAAAAGGATGCAACGGGGGAGGAGAGGGGCAAAGGAGTGCAAAGAGGGAAGAGGGAGGGTGGGGAAGGAGTGGGTAAACGAGGAGAGAACAAGGAGAACCGAGGGAAGAAAGGGGGGGGAGAAGGGGACGAGAAGCGCGGGGGAGTAGGGGAAGGAGAAGGACGAATGGGAGAGAAGCGCCGAAGAGGTCACGAGAAGAGGGAGGAGGAAAGAGAAACTGCGGGAAAGCAGCCAGGGAGGAGAGAAGACAGGAAGTGACCAGGGAGGAGTGAAGACAGCACGGGAAGCAGGGGATGAACAAAGGAGTGTAGAACACGAGGACAGGAGGGAAACAGAGGGAGAGAGGGAAAGAGAGAGAAACGGGTGAAAACAAGCGAAAAGAGGGGAAAGAGGGGGTAAGGGGGCGCGGGGAAGGATCAAGGAGAGGGTAAGCGAGGATTCTGAAAAGAAGTAGAAAGTGGATAAGGTAGCCGCAAGGAGGAGGTGGGAAAAGGGAGCGAGACGGGAAAAGAAGAAGATGGGGGATGGGAACCGATTTGATGACCGAGCCAGGAACGAGAGGAGAAAAGAGCACAAGACGCCGGCGAAAGGGACGCTGCCATCAGCCCAAGACAAACTAGGGGATCAGCACAATTACGAGGCCCGCAGATCAATGTGGGAGCGGAGTCGTCAGAGGAGTAGAGAAGGCGCGGTGAAGAGGAACACGGCATTCTGAGACACCAAGAGCCAGAGGGCGCAGAGAATAACAAACAAACAGACGGGCAATGAAAATGAGAGGCGACTGAGGGCGGCAGCCACAAAACATCGATCATGACTGTTTGCTTATTTGCACCGCTTACGAACCATGGACGAACTTATGAAGGAACAGAAATCATAGGAAAATAGGGAAAGTGCGTCCGGAGACAAAAAGACGGCTGAGTAGAGAAGATACAAGAAGCCTACGCGGCAAGGCAAATCAAGTGATGACGACGACCCAATGAGTCGAAGAGCGCGTTGACGGATGACAGACTTCGAGAAACGGTATGACGAAGGAGAATGGGCCGGAAGTCCTACGGTAAAACCAAGGCCAGCAGGCAAACTCGTGGACGACGTCACGGATTTTAACACACGCACAATTGAGAGGGGTGGAACGACGGCGAAAACGGAAGGGCGGACTGATTGACACTGAGAACGAAGATATCTGGTTAGATTGGGAAAGGCGGGCCGAGAATGAAAACTAGGGTAACCGTGGGGGAGTGGCGGACAGGAGATGAAGAGAAATCGAGAAATAATGGTCAATGCACCCGGCAAATGTGAACGGACAAGATCGGGACCGAGTTTGTTACTTCGTCCGAAGGCAGCCCCATCCACCTTTTTCCAACTAGCAAATGACACGGCTTCGCTCACCTTCTCATCTTCAGCCGCAAACCCCATCCGCGTTCCTCCGTTCGCCACTCACGACACCCAATCCCCGCCGCCTTCCTCCCCTACCCGTGCCTTCTCCTGTCACTCTCCCTCAGTCAACTATGTGACTGACGCTCTACCTCCTTATACCCGTAGCTCACAGCAGATGCCACAACGCTTGCCAAAACCAAATCCGGACGAAAGATACAGGGACGGACAGTGTATGCGAACCATTCGCCGCTGCCTACTCTCTCGCGCAGATTGCTCATGAGCGCTACTCGATAGCGTGGGAAGACAAGGCCGATGGCCACCGATGATTAGAAGACGACAGTAAATCATCAACATGCAGGACAAAAGCCGGAGCTTTATACGATAAGACCAAAAGTAGACCGCAAGGGGTGAAGCTCAAAAGGAGGTGGGGGAAAACGAAGAGAGAGCGCGAGCAGACGGGGAAAAAGGTAGGAGAGCACGAGAAAAAAAGGAGCAGACAAGAGCGCAACTAGAGCGCGAGAAGAGAAGCGAGGGATCACGGCCGGGGATACTACGGAGGACAACGTCGACATATATTCGAAATATCGGCCAACAGCAAACTCTTCGCCGCGATGCAACATACATCTTACTTCGACAACTTTGTACGACAGCGTCGTGCCCTTTTCCCAAGCCGCTAAGCATGGCGCCCGCCAACGACCATGATGAAATCCGTAAGGTACACCTGATCCCGTCGACTACAAAAGATGGAAATCCAACCCGAAAGAACTGAAAATAAGGTTTGTCAGGTGGATCTTCAAGTGACTTACCGCTGTCGCCGATGAGGAGCAGCTTGATGAGATAGTCATAATCGGCCCTCGCTCTACTCGCGGCAGCCGCCATCGTCGAGTTTGAAAGACGCGCAACAGAGGAAAGATTTCCCCACTGTCACTTTCCACCTCGCCTCCCACTTCCTGCCCACTTCTACTTGCCTCGTTCGCGACAGACCTTCAACAACTGACAGACCGACCCGTTCCCGTTCCCTCCCCCCCAATCTCTCTCTCTCTCTCTCTCTCTCTCTCTCTCTCTCTCTCTCTCTCTCTCTCACCCCCCACCACTAGACCGGAACGATGGACGCTTTTCGCACTGACCTCAAGGAGAAGACTCCTGGGTGAGGTGAAGGTGGGGGGCGGGGGGCGATTGTACGACAAACTCGCCGTAGGCGAACATATGGAAGCCAGGCAGCACCCTCCAATTCAGGGGCCGTCCTCGATATAATACACTCAACGACCCATTTCGTGATCGCCTGGCGTTCGGCTCTCCCGTCAAGGACGCCGGTTCCCGCCAACAACGACAGCAGAACAGCAAAACCGGCCGGGCTCAATCACAACGCCTCGCCCGCATAATGACCTTTCAATACGGGCAAATGAATAGAGACCAGAAAACGCCGCGAAGGCCGAGTGAGGTCGAACGAGGACGAACGAGGACGGACGGGAAGGCAACACTGTCCCCAGCCCGACAAAAGGCAACAGGGAAGACGGGCGAGCAGAAGCTCTGACGACCGCAACCCACTCTCGGCTGTTCGAGGAGGCAAATTCCCGCCAACGAATGAAAAGGTCGCGCAAACCGTTAGGAAACGAAAGTGTCTATGCAACCCGAAGGCTGCGCTTGGCTTGTCCAGAGGGGTTTGTCTGCTCGTTTACTGACGGGTTTCCCAAGTTGGGTTGTCCACCGCGGGAGAATTTGGGGTTCGGGCCGACCGCGGGAGAACGAGGGGTTCGGGTCGACCGCGGGAGAACGCGAAGTGCGGGATGGCGAATGGGCGCTGGAAAGGCTTTATTATGGGGTGTTCGCAGCCCATTGGCTGCGCTGTCCCTCGCAGTTCGCAGCCAGGAGGATGCCCTTGTATTGGTTGCGTTTTGTCGTGTATGGTGGGCGTTTTCCATTTCGGGGATGTCGTGGGTTGGGAGGGGTATAGAGGGCGTGGTTAGGTGCAAAAGAAGGGCTACGGTCCTTGTTCCAATACCGACTGTTGGCAGGCAGCACTGGTACTGGTATACCGCGGTAGTGCAGCCCGGACGACAAAAGGGCAGCTGTCCTGGTGGTCCCGAAGGAGCCATGTTTTAGCTGGGGCCTCAAACGGGGCAGGTTTATAGGCCATACGGAAAATGCACATACAAAAGTGCATTGGGGATGGTGAGAGGACAGTAACATGTGCAAGATGCGTGCCACCTACACCCAAGGCAACAAGAGATATTAGAGCGGAGATGCAGGTATAATCCTTCTCCCCTCTCTGGGACTCTTTCACTAAGGTTGACTGGGTAACTACGTTCTGACGCCCAACCTCATGCCCAGCGCGACTTCCTGATCAAAGTGTGAGTGGGCTTGGAAGTGATAAAAGGGGGTGTGCCAAGGATTTTAGGAAAGTGGGGGTGGAGTCCCAGGTCGGAACTGAGATCTCTTGTGGCAAGCTCCGAAATACGAATGCAGGAGGGTAGGCGTGGACTGGAGTTTTGTTTTGCTTCGGGGAACAGAGCTACCGCCTCCGTTGGTTTCGTCGTCCGGCTCGGGGTCGTATCTGGTGAACCATCGGGACGCTACGGGTATCCCGTTGATTCGTCACCTGCTGACGTCGAACGTTGCAAGTCTTCGAATCCGACGCAGCTGCCCTCAATCGAAGACTGCGCGCATGTCGCGCTTCCTCCGAACGAGTTCGCCAGATGAAGTCGGAGGCTCGATACTCGTGGTCCCGCAAACACTCTGAGCATAGGGGTTGCAGCCAGTAACGAGCGATTGCGAGACAGGGGACGATGGTTAGGGAGTGGTAAAGTAGGATGTGGTGATAGAGAGGGAATTCGGTCCCTAAGATAATGATTTTGGGCCCCCTGAGGACGTGACACGTGTATGGGCTACAGTAACTGGGGAGATGAGGGTTACGTCCCAAGGCTTGGTTGAGGTCCCACTCGCAAATACGTTCGTTCCCCGTCAAGTAGGGAAATTTCGAAGGTTCCGCCCAGGGTCGTGCAGGCAAACAAGAGTGCTCCCAATATTCCCATAACTCCCGATCCCTCAAACACTCGCGGTCATTGACACGAACGGGAACGCCGAAATTCATGTTGCAAGTCGGGGTGGAACACCAACCATTCAGGAACTTAGTCGAGTTCAGGTTTCGCAGACGCGTGTGTCGGCAGCGATCGTCTTTGGTCGAGCCTACACGTGCATGCGTGGGACCTGTCCTTCGATCAGATGGGTGAAAGTTAGCGATTCGAGAGATGGATCATCCTATAGTAAGATGGTCATCTAATCGTCTAACATGCTTATCCAATTCATACACGAACAGAATCACGCCTATCATTCATGCATCTAGCTTACATACAAACAGAAAGAATCGAGGATCATGCAACAATTCTTTGGCCAATCTGCCCAGAGATCACACAAGGCTCGATCGTCGGGAACCAATCAATCAAATTTTGCCGATTCAAAAAACAAAGACGGGGAGTGGTGAAAAACAATCCATATGTCAGTCTTCGAAGAAAGAAAGCAAGGAAAAAGAAAAATTTGAGATGCTGATAAAAAAGAAGGACGAGGCGATTGACGCCGAATACCAAAATTGCTTAGAAGGATCGAAGAGAACCATCACCACAACTCATCCCGTGTCTCTCTTTCTCTCTCTCTACAACATCCCGGTGTAGGTAGTCCATCACCTCGCACCTACACATAGTTGTCACCCCGCTTAGTCCGAACATGCCAGCCAGGTTCGCCCATGTGCCACAGTCCATCGCGGCCCCACGTCACCCCCACATGCCCAGCACGAGCTCGTCGCATCGGCCAACTCTCTGCTCACCTTCCAAATCTCGTTTGTTAGTCGATCCTCTTGACCTCGCTATCGGGCGCGACGGTCCCACACCCAGACGTAAAGTATTTTTTTTTTTGTCGGACCTCACGGTCGCATCACGCAGGAGTTTTAAACGATTCAATAAAAGACCAATTCTGACCGTGCGTGCCAGCTATACCTCTCACATCGTTAACTTTCCTTTTTCCCGACTGTATTCAGCCAGCTGTAGCAGCAAAAAACTCTGAATGTACCTTGTCGCAAACGGCGGCCAGGTTAATTCAATTTGATCATTGAGTATTCTCCATTCCCATTTTTCGACTCCTCCCCCTTTTCTCCACCTCCTACTGATACACACACACACACACACACACACACACACACACATGTATGTATGCGGTAGTATATATATCCACGTTCTAGCGGTAGATTCATTCGATTTTATTTTTATTTATTTATTTATTTAATTTTATTTTATTTATCCTATCGATGGAAGTACCATGAGGTAAGCCGTGAGATTGAAGGCTTACCTGTTCTCTCTTCGTCGTCGCCGTCATCATCGTCGTCGGTCTTCGCCGTCAATCTTCGTCGACGTCGTCAGCGTCGTCAGTATTCGTCGTCGTCGTCAGCATCGTCAGTCTTCATCGTCGTCGTCGTCAGCGTCGTCAGCGTCGTTTTTTTCCTTCCACTTTCCCCTCGTTCTCTCTCTCCCCCTCCTTCTCCTTCTTCTCATTCTTCTCCTCCCTCAAAATTATAAGGTTCAATGAACTTTCCACAACACCCCCTGCGGCACACTGCCGAGATCACCGTGATCCAGTCACTTCACCGGACCATTCAATCGGTAGGAGCGACGACGGTGTATATAAAGGGCAGGGACGTGATAAGCGCGAGCTGATGACTCGCGGTTACTAGGCATTCCTCTTTCAAGATCGATAATTACAACAATCTACCACATCGCGGTGAACC